TATCCAGGCGTCGCCCATGTGCATGCGTCGTTGAGCCGTTTATATCGCTTCACGAGTAGTACGTGCAATGGCGCACCTACTTGACATAACCGTCAGTGCCGGACTTTTCCAAACAAACCATTAATGCCCTATACTTAATTATAGCGCCAACTATTTGATAACTTAATTGTTATTCATGAAACCTTACAAAGAACCTTGCTAACTAGTTACATACTAAGGGATTTAGTTGCATACCTGAATAACTGAAATTGGGTGCTTTGGATGGAGCTGGCATGTATGGAATGTGATGAAAACAGATACAATAGTGTAACAGGTGTATTAAGCTAATCATGTCCAGCACTTGCGTGGATTAGCAAAACAAAAATAGGAAAAAGGGACCACGGTCTATATGTGGTAAAGTGTACTGCAAGTAAGTGAATCAACATCAAGTTCTCTAGCAATTGCATATAAAGTAAAAAGGGCAAGGAAGGCAAATTATTCTCAAGCAGAGCTCTAACTCTTTACGGCAAACAAGTATGAGGAATTAACATATATTATTGATGCTAAGTATAAGGATGCAAACACTAACAAGAAAAAAGAAAGATGCATGGGCACTATTTTCAGCCACTACCGTGCAAGATTTCCCACAGGTTGAAAGATCATTGAATGATTTGAAATTAGATTATCAAAATTACAATCCGAGTCAAGAGAATGCACTGGCTCTTGAACTTGAATTGTTCTTGAGTCTGGAGAAATGGTAGCACATAGCAACGGATGAAAACTGGTGTACAAGTGAGTGGATGTTTCACCGTATGACGTATAATCCCGCCTAGCCTGCGCCTATTGGATGATTTTCCGCTAAAAAGCCCAGAATTTTTGTTCACTTTATTCAGCGTGGGATGCATGTATTCTAGAGAGCGCTTTTCATATTCAGTTCTAGGTCCACCACACATTTCACCGTATACCACCGATTTTATTTCGTAATAATCCATAACCAAAGTTTCACAATTTTCAGTACATTGAAATATTTCAACCTGTTACTATAAAATCACGAGGCTAAGAAATAGTGCGAACAACTATTGTCTAAGTAAATTAATTCCTAACAACATTATACAAATTGGCTCCGTGCACAAGCGCCCCCTCATCGGCGAGAAAGGGCGAGTTGGTGGAGATCGCAAACATCGTGACATTCAAAACACATTTTCGACGACGCCCAACGCTCACCCGAAGACGCGCGTCTTTGTGCACATTCATAACACAATAGGTCGTGCATACTTCACGCTGTACACGCTCGAATCAGTACGCACACGCGTTAAGTCCTTTCCATGGGGCTTTCAAAGTGGAAAAAAGCGCCATCCTTTGTTGGTGCACTGAGCCCATAGAGTATCATAAAAGTACAATAATGTTCACCATGTTATCTTGAATTCACGTTGCCAAGCAATGAAGCTAACAAACGTTGTCTACGTTAATAATTAAATCAATATACATAAAGTATCATAAAAGTACCTTAATATTCACCATGTTATCTATGAATTCACGCGGTTAAGCAATGAGGCTAACAAGCATTGTCTACGTTAATGATTTAAAATAGTATACATAGAGAGTATCATAAAAGTACCTTAATATTCACCATGTTATCTATGAATTCACGCGGTCAAGCAATGAGGCTAACAAGCAATGTCTACGGTAATGATTTAAAATAGTATACATAGAGAGTATCATCAGAGTACATTAATATTCACCATGTTATCTATGAATACAAGCGGTCAATCAATTAGGCTAATAAGCATTGTCTAAGGTAATGATTTAAAATAGTTTACATAGAGAGTATCATAAAAAAGTACCTTAATATTCACCATGTTATCTATGAATACACGCGGTCAAGCAATGAGGCTAACAAACATTGTCTACGGTAATGATTTAAAATAGTATACATAGAGAGTATCATAAAAAGTACCTTAATATTCACCATGTTATCTATGAATACACGCGGTCAATCAATGAGGCTAACAAGCATTGTCTACGGTAATGATTTAAAATAGTATAGAAGCATAAAAGTACCTTAATATTCACCATGTTATCTATGAATACACGCGGTCAAGCAATGAGGCTAACAAGCATTGTCTATGGTAATGATTTAAATAGTATACATAGAGAGTATCATAAAAGTACATTAATATTCACCATGTTATCTATGAATTCACGCGGTCAAGCAATGAGGCTAACAAGCAATGTGTACGTTAATGATTTAAAATAGAATACATAGAGAGTATCATAAAAAGTTCATTAATATTCACCGTGTTATCTATGAATACACGCAATCAAGCAATGAGGCTATATCAGTATCGTCTACGTTAATAATTAGTTAAACTGTTTAACAACACTTTACATACTACAGTATCTTACAAATAAGTATGAATACAGAGACCCACACTTATGTTTACGTTATAACTGCCATGGAAATGCCTAATTATACGGCGCTGTTTAGGAACACGACATTTTGTTTGACTTCTAAACGTTCGTGTTTTTAAAATGTTTCTAAGTTGAGTGCCACACTTTAAAACAATAAACGCTGAACGCGTTTTTGAACCCAAAACACCAGCGTTTGTAAGTTAAACAAGATGTTGAGTGTTTCTAAACAGCACCATTAACAATGCGTTCATAACGTTGATGGAACATTTAATTTTGGTTTCCGACAGACAAATGTCAGTTGTAGAGGCTGTAAAACGTGAAGCGGATTTGTTACGGTTGTATTTCTGAAACATGAATAACTGAATCATGAATCTGAGAAATCTAACGTAGTATGCCTTTAACCGTATAGTAAATGGAGTCTCACCCATTAAACGTGTTCAAATGTTAATACATTGTTGCCAAAAAGTGCTGATAATGTGTTAAAACGTTAAACACCAGATTGTATAGTGTATATATTAAACGAATGCATGCGATTAAGCAATACGGCAAACAACGAATATCCTAGGCATTTAAACGTGTTAACAATAATATACAAATAACGTTTCCGATACAACCATGATTACAATTTATAAACACTTATGGATTAACTCATATCCACCATTTACCATTCAGTTAAGCAATAAGGCAAACAACTATTCTCCATAGTATTCGCAAGATTTTATGCATAAAGCATATTACAAATAAACTTTACAAATAAACTTTACAGATGTACTGCCATAATTAAGAAGCACAATAATAATTTGCTTGAAATAGTCTTTTTCAGTTACAAGCAGCTGCATAATTAAATCGGCTACTTCAGGCCCTCTTTGTGATGTATGGGTATCTGAGTAAAGAATCTGGCATATGTTCGTTAAAACATTTTAAAATGTTTATAACGTGTCTACACTATAAATTGTTGCTAAAGAGCGTTTATAATTTGTTCAAAAGCTGAACGCTAGGTGTTTTAGTTTTCAATTTAATTAAACGAATTCATGCGGTTAAGCAATGAGGCAAACTGTCTTAACATTATACGTGATTTTTTTTACGAACAAAATCAATCTTACCTATATACAACCATGATTACATTATTTATTACAAACTTTTGTGTTAATTTCAATATACCATTCATTTTGATTATAGTAAGCCAAAATTCAACTGTTCTTATAAAGCTCATTACACTACCTTTCGTAGGATTTGTACGTTTGCACGATAATGTCAGCGATCACAATAATTGTGCGACACAATGTAACAAAATATTGTAATTTATGTTGTAAGACTGAGAGATGTCAACTGTGGTGGGTAAGTTCTCCTACATAACTACCAACAACCGTTGAAATCCCTGTCTCCTGACGACAAGCAGAGCATTTTGTCCGAAACGTTGCGTTTCCCCCGGTTTTTTTTTCCAAACCACGCAAACTCACACAATAGTTTCTTCTCGCGTGGTGCCACCGCAAACTTACTCATTACATTTGAAACCTTCAATGTTATCATTATAAAAACCATCACGCTGCCAAGTAATAGAATAGTGTGCATACGTCTGTTACAATCACAGATATAATTACTTAAAACTTTCCTGAACAGCATCTTGTTGGTTCCTTAAAATGCAATATCTACCATGTAATTATACACAATCCCCTATCTAATCATGTGATTGCGAATTTCACTATATACGTTAAAACATAATGTAAATACACGATATTGAAATGGTTATAAAATATTATGTTATATTGTGAGATATGATAAAAAAAAAAGATGTTACAATCTCCATAGAACTGTATTGTGGCACTGTTACATTTGTAATATGTTTGACCAGTTAACAATTTTCGGCTCAAAATATCAATTTCTGATCGTAACCTAAGTTCGCTAAGCCGGTAGTACAAGGCGAGTATACTACAGCCACTAGAAGTCACAAGTCAACAAAAGTCATACAAAATAGTTTTCTTTGACAAAAATACTAAACAGAAAAAAAGAGCAAAAAATACAGAAAAAAAAGAGCTAAAATTCAAGCCAGCAAGCGCAAGGTTCCGGGCCTCACCGCAGCATTTATACATTTCATTTAGACTACTGAAGTTCTACTTGTCAAAGAAAAATCAAACGAGTCCTACTCTTGATTCTAAATAACTCTGTTGTTTACCAATGAAATAAAACAAAAGATTAAGATAATGTAACCAATGCATGGCAGATGTTACGGAGCGAGTTTCATTAGCTTTGTGCAAAGGGGTGAGATTTAAACGCCACAAAAAAAAAAATACTCGCTTTCAGAATCTGCCACTTTTGACTTGGCGTCCTCCAGCGTCGATACACCGCTGGAGACGTTGGTGGAAGGCGCGTGCTGCGACGGAAGGCTTCTGAAGGAATGCGCGATAACCCATGATGTCATTGCACACCTCCTCGATCGTTTGGGGCAACACACGATCGAGGTGTGTAAAGACATCAGGGGTGATCCTGCATTCCACCAGAAGATTTCGACCGCAGCAGGCGCCATCCGCTACCGTCTACAGCACTGTATCGACATTCTGAAAGTGATTATTTTTGTTCGTATGGCGTTTACATATCACCCTCCTGCACAAAGCTGATCAAACTCACTCCATAAAATGTGTCATGCCTTGTTACATGATCTAAATCACAATGGTTGGATTCTGTTGGTAAACAACAGAGTTATTTATGATCAAAAAAGTAGGACATGTTTTTGGTTGACACGTAGTATTTAGTTGCATTATGGCTATATTCAGTATAAGAAATCGTCTCTCATCATTTCTTGATCCATTCTGCGCATCTGTTTGGAAAGAACAAAATATAAAGTCATTGCACTAAAAACTAAAGGTTTGGTTAGGCCCTATATACTCAGAACTGATGTAATATTGTTCGCAATGCCAAGAGGATTGTATGTACTACGTGTTGTAAAACAGTACACACGCATTTGGAAAGTTGGCACCGCGAGGTAAGCATTTGTAATAGAAAACAAAGTGTACTTACCAGTGCTGGGCCTGGTATCATGTATGGAGAGTAAGGCCCCGAGAAGCCGTCCTCTCTACGATAGTTAGTACTATAGTCATAGGCCCCATAGAATGCGCGTGCGTCGTCCATTGATCCATCGTCCATTGCCTGCATTGTCATGGCAAACAGCACACAAAGTGTTAGTACCACTTAGTAAGTGCCACTTAATAACAAAAATAGTGCTTAATTAAAAAAAAGTAAGTGTTCTTACTTCAAAGTTCAAAGTTTTGTGATCGGAAAAATACTCTGTGTACATAATTAAGTTCACCAAAGAAATGACTTTGAAAAGTACTACATAAATGAATTGGAGAGCACTCCCTTTAGAACATGAACAAAGGCCTTTGTGATTCGGCTTGTTGTGTGAATATTTAACATCATGCTTACCGAGATGGTGCGGGGCATGATAGCAGGACGAGTCCAATTCCTCACTCCGTAGCGATAACGCTGTCTGGCATGGTCCATATCCTATTTGGAATAAATGGTAGGGATTTACAAAAGTTGCACAGAATACAAATGTTGCAAAGGCTTTCGGTCGCAAAAGTAATAACTGAAAAAAAGTGAAACTACATTGGTCCCTTTTATCATTCAGCGTTTGCCAGACTTGAGAGCAAAGTACTAGAAAATTTGGCTGACTTGATACTTGTTTGCGCGTGATAATACAATAACCGAGTTGTATCATGACATGTTAAATAAAGATGGCACATTAATCCATGATTGATGTATTTAGTCCTTCAGGCTTTGCACATTTGTTACAACTGATCATATAGTAACCAACTGATAATGTATCACCTACCGATACTGTCTTGACCGCTAATGTAACAACAATCGACTGATAGTGTTAGTACATTTTTACTACACTTTCGGTCGATTTCTGTTATATTATCGGTTAGTGGTACAGTATCGGTCAATTTTTGTGACATTATCGGTTGGTGATACATTATCCGTTGGTTACTACATTATCAGTTGTAATACACATTCTTTCATAAGCTATTAATTGTTCCTCAATTACAGTCGATTGTGTAAACATTACTGTGCCAAATATTGTCAATGGAAGCTCCATATCCAGTTTACCTGTTGTGCAAAACGTCTACGTCGTTGAGAAGCAGAGCGACCTGCCTTGATAACGCAAGCGCATAGCATGACAACAATGCTGCATAACAGGAGTGCACCGGCTGTAGTGACAGTGGCAATGATTCCTCCGTTCCCAGGTTCATCTGGTTTATAAAATCAATCGGAATAAACATCCCTTACTATTCATTATGCAACCTAAATGCTACTGAATAAATACACCATGTCCTCGATTGAACGTATTTCACTCTAAAACGTCTCGTCCCTAGTTTCAATCAGTGGAAGTGAATTTTCTATTTTGGGAAATAAAAGATTGCATGGAGCAACGAAAAAAATTAATAATTTGAGACCTTGAATTGAAAAATCATCAGGATTGTATCAATGCTTTTCACAAGCCAGTCCGTGGGTCGTCAATTGTGTCGTTTAAACCTATTCACACCGAACTCGCTTATCGAGATGAACAAAACATTCCACAATTTAACCGTTGAACAAAAGGCCATTTGATTCATATTGGTATTTATTATTGGCAAACATTCAATATTGAAGCGAGTGTCTCTTGTTGTCATTCGCCATTTGCCCTATTGGGCACACATTTCGCACCTGTTTCCTCGCAGGAGGTTCCCGTGTAACCATCCGGGCACCTAAGAAATGATAACAATTTGAGTAAGTTAATGATTACAACTATTAATAAGCATCTTTTTTTTACTCGTTTAATTTGCCTTAACATTTTCAATTGTCCTCAACTCAGTGACTTTCTTACCTTAGTAAGATAATCTTTAATTAATCTTCGAAATTGAAGAGATGTTCAAATTACAGCTTAATTCACATCATATCAGAAGACTTGTGACAGCATAAGAATATATAATAACCAAGCCATTAGAGAAATTATCTAAGTTTCAAGTGCACGACGTTTTCATTTTTAAAAAAAGATTTGCAGAACTTACTCGCACGTATACACATAATCTGGGAAACTTCCAGTTCGTGTACAATCGCCTCCATTTTGACAGCGATATGCCGGACAAGCTTCAGTCCGGGCTGTGTTATAAATACAAACATGAAAAGAGGAACTCAGAAGACACCATTTGACTTACAATTACATGTACTTTTAAACTAACAAACTATTGTTGTTTATATTTTGTTTATTGCGTCAGAGCAAACGGATTTGGAAGTTAGCATTTTGTACAGATCAAGTCCTAGACAATTCATTCATGCAATAGTTTTTGCATTACTATATTTTTTATCTTGTAATGAAATGAATGATTCCGTACATGCACCATGTCATTTTGTCTCACAAACATAAAACAGACCTTTGAGGAAAGACATTTTAGATAAATATCTGGTGAAAACCTCTGAAATTAAACAGGGACAGAATTGCCATACGTGGAGCGAATAGAACGCTGTTGTGATGCCACACTATGGGCTGAAAATAAACGAACATGAATCACAAGTCGGCTTATTTAAGGCACGTTTGCGCATGTTGCAATACTTATATATCAAAAACAAAATACTTTGAGGTATAATTCAAGTTGCATAACGGCTTCAATTAATATGACATTTACTTCTTGCACCCAAGAATTGCGTTGTTTTATATCGCGCCCAAAGATGTGGCATATTTCCATTATATTCGCTCGGGAATGAATTGGACCTAGCTTAAAAAAAAAAAAAACATTTATGGGCAAGGTGCACTCTCAAATCGATTTAATACATACCTGTCACGACTAAGCCCGATGGATCAATGGTGAGTGAGTTGTCTATCTGTCCGTTATTGGCAATCGCGTCGTCGCGAAGCACTTCTCTGATAGTTGCACTCTCGATGACGGAGTTGAGAGGGGAATCTTGCCACACCATTCACCAACAAACTCCCGTCACGAACCGAGATCACTACATAATCCACTACATTGGATGTCCTGGGTGACCTGCGAAGGGCTGCAATCACCTATCATGATGCGTCAAAAAGCACAGTAAATAAAAATTATAAACAAAAATGTTGCATTACTGAAACTAATTAAAAGTCTAAATGATATATAAGAGGAAACAAATTACTGCAAATAGTCCAAACTTGACCAACAGAATTTGGGACAATGAAGCGAAAAAGTAATCATATTAAAATGACAACAATATAGACAGAGATATTCACGGGACGATGCTTGGGGAAAAGACAATTGTACAAGTGAAAGCTACCAAAAAATCAGCAAATGTTCACAACTTATACTTTATATATTTAAAGGAAGACCTTTGTGAAACAGCGCCATTTTGTGCTGGGACCTCTTTACCAAATGATGTCAACTGGAAAGATCGTTACATATCAGAATAAGAACGTTCACACAATTATAACTTAAAATGTGCTGCGTTTGCGTAATTACCACGCGAACGAAACTTCGAGGTGTAAGATGTTGGTTCTCAAAGGTAAAGATCCCATAGCCATTACTGGCCGTAGGGGCAGTGGGATGTTAGAGGTCCGCTGCGTCTTGGGCGCGGCATATGAGTGGCGGGGCCCAGTCCTCTCCTCTCGCCGTCTTACCTTCCCTGAACGAATCAGGTACGCATTTTACTGTTGGGTTATCAGAGAGTTTTTGGTCCGAATGGGATTTGAACCGCCAACCTTCCACTCCGTAGCTCCACGCTCTAACCGCTCGGCTACGTTTTTAAGCATTACTTAAACAACTGGAGATAAGTAATAGTGCGTACGGATCCCCTGCAGTTTGTATAATTCTCTGAAGTTCCCAAATGGACCTTAGTCACGAGGAAGCAATTTTTGGTCGTGTTCACTGAATGTATTTTATAAATTGTGAACTGTTGATTGGGATGGTGCCAGACTGTTTATGCATTCTAGCTCGACTTTCACTTTGTTTTAAATGTGGCTAAAAACATTAGGGTATTTTTCATCACAATTTTTTAATTATTCATCAGAGCAGACTGGTATTAATTTGAAATTAACTTTATGCCTTGCTTTCATTTCTCTCTTTAAGTTCCAAAAATGAAGATTTTACCTCGCTTTCACTTTAATATGGCCGACTCATGAATAACGCCAATAGCAGACAATCATATTTTATGTCACCCCTTGACTCTTTGGTTCAAAACGCGATGCTTGAAAATAAACAAAGGCCAAAAACTAGTGCAACGTCAAATGTTAATAGCATTTTTGGGCGTGCTATCAAATAAATGTTCAATAGACATTTGGCGGATCTCCTGTGGCAGAAACCTTTGAAATAAGATCAGTGAGAATCTAAAAGAATATATTGTAACCAGACTATGTTCTGATCGACTTCACCGTGACACAAGCTGTTAGATTCAAAATTTAATATTTGGGCACTGTGTACTTACTGCCTGGCGAATAATGATCACTACATCACGAAACTCCTGCGAGTTGCTGTCTGCGAGTCGAGAATTGAAGACCGCAGGTGCACCGTTCAGTTCAAGAATCCGTAACTGACAGCTGAACTCCATCGTCGGTTGTTCGATTGGTGCTTCTGTTGTTGCAATCACTCCTCTCCCTCCATCCCCTCCGGTCCCTCCGGCTGAAAGAAAAGGCAAGATATAATGGTCGATTCAGGAAAATGTACATCAACAGGTCTTTTGGTTTGCCTGAATGTCTTTAGGTAACTACTGAATAAGAAAAAGATAACTCGGCAACAGAAAAGCTTAATGCTATTTTGAAAGTTTTAGCCAAACAAATAAATTTCATATAAAAAGGCGCACTTGAAATTGATTCCTACTCTGTTTACCACGTTTTCGCACCAATAGACTACCTTGAATTGTATTAATTTTACATATAACTTTCATGAGGTACTGTTGTTATCGAAACCATCAATGCAGAAATATTGGTTTTGTCGCTTGTGACTGTAATGCAATAGTGATGGTCTTGTAATGGCTCGACAACCAGCTGGCATGCAACTGGATTTAATATCTTACCTTCAGTAACAGCCATTGATGGTGAAGTGGACGACTCCCCATCGTCCCCTCCATTCCCTCCGTCTGCAGTAGAGGTCTGGTCGTTCATTGCGTCTGTGGTTGCAATCCCTCCGTCTCCTCCATCCCCTCCGTTTGCTGCAGTAGATGTTTGGACGATCGAGTTATCCGTTGACATAACGCTAGTGACTCGCTCAACAGTTGATAGCTCCGAAGCTGCTTCTGTAACGGATGTCTGGTCGATCATTGTGTCTGTTGTTGCAATCCCACCGTCTACTCCATCCTCTCCGTTTGTTGTAGTTGGAGTTGATAGCCCAGGTGTTGCTTCTGTAGCGGCTGTTTCGTCGATACGGTCATCTGTTGTTGCATCCCAGCGACATGGGTATTGGTAGATAGCTCGAGTGTTCCTCCTGTGGATTTTGGTTGACTAAGGCACCTGTAGTTGCAATCCCACTTTCTTGGACAGTAGTGGATATCTGGGCCGCTGTTCCACCGGTGGACGTTAGTTCAAGTGTTGCTCCTGTGGACGTTTGCTGGACTAAGGCACTTGTTGTTGCAACGTCGGTCATTTGTTCACTAGTGGATAGCTCTTCCATTGCTTCAGTAGTGGTCATTTGGTCGGTCGTGGGGACAAGTGGTAAATCACCTGTTGTGAAGTTCGTTGATGGATTATAGTGGTTTTAAAATCAAACTACGTCAGAGTTGTCACATTTCAGAGGATCTACGAAATGAGTTTACATTTTTTTTCTCGTCCAGGAAACATGCATGATTTTTCTTAAATACCTACAAGGAACAGATGATCAAACTCTAAGTTTGTTGATGTCATTGACGTTTTGAACAAACGTTAAATAGTCCTTTAAATGTTTATGTTTGATGGTCTTCTACAGTCTCGTTGTCATGTATGTCGTAGTGCTTGGTTTTTGTTTCAGGTTTGTGTGTCGAAGATGACAAAATTACAAAGTATTGCTGCACCGTTTATCATCACGTTAGTACTATCATCATTGTAATTAAATACATAATTGTGTAACACTGCGTCAATGTACGATTTCCTTTTGTGTTATAAGTAATTATATAATATTGAATGGCTTTGAGAGGGATACAATAATATTTGCACGAGTTATAACAAATGCCCGGATGACTACAATATCAATGCTATATCAATAAAGTACCCGGATGATTTTAATATATATTTGATATATCATCCGGGTACTCTTTACAAAGCCTTCAATACGCTGATTTATTTTTACCACTAGAAGCCTGATAAATAATTGTCTTCATGCAAACTTGAATCCTCCATCCTGATTGGTCGATCCATGGCAACAGCAGTGTGATATGTGTAGCAAAATTTGATTTATTATGGTCCCAATTGCACCTTTAAACTAAGATATAGAGCGCTTGGCCACAGTAATCCATAGCAGTCATGTATTACATCTGTTCTCAAGTCAGATTAATGCACAAAACTATTTCAGAGCTTACTTTGTTCAGCTTAATTCTTTACCTACTTTACACCACAATAGAATAGTATTTGGTTGCAGTCAAACACAGATGGAGCTCTCGTGGTAGTCTTTATTGTTTACCCTCACATACTGGGAATATAAGTTCTTGCCCCATCCTCTGTACTTAGTGTTAATGCAAATATCTCCCAGCACGAAAGACACACTGCATTAGTATGCCTAATCTTGAAATTCTTGTGCATATTTTTACCAGCATATAAACCCCTTGAAAGCCCAATAGGGCGTGGACTTGCGACTGGGCATGTGGTTGATGGTTGTGTGCATTTTAGTTCCTTATTTCTAAGTTCCTGTACATTGTATGGCTGAAGGTGGAAGCCTGCTTTATGTGGCCTTCGTTTTTTGTGCAAGACGCTGTGTTTCTTTAATTTGCATCACCACCACCACCTACACCAAGGGTTCAGTGTCTGCATAGTCTTGTGAGTATGTTCCAATATTACCCCCCTTGCCCCCAGTATTTTTACATTGCCTGGTTTAGAACTACGTGTAGTATCGTAGTGGTGCCAGTCTGAACTCTGCTCTGTCAATAACTATTTAAATTCTATCATTTATATTTACATGCTCTCCCCTGGTTAATTATTTTGTAAGCGAAGAAGCGCTAATTAAATTCTCATTATTTCTATTTTCTGATATTCATATCTTGTCCCTTTTGTCGGTTTTTTGTGCACATCCACGTATTTTTTATTATTAGTAATCCCCCCAACTGACGGTGGCCTCTTTGGTCGCCGTACAATATGAGGCTGTATTGCACGGTTCAAATTGCACCCTGCGTATTGCGCTATTCCAAGATGCGAGCGACATTCCAGCTGCATGCGCTACACCGCTGAAATGTTCGTGTAAAGTGTGCTCGTTCCAACTGTACTGCGCGTCAACTTTGCTTGAAGATAAATTCCTTATCACGCTCGCGCTCGTGGAACACGGATAATGTAGTGGGACACAGACGCACTACATCATTCGTCATCCACTCGCGCTCGCGGGATAACTAATATTATCTTCAAGTAAACTTGAATCCTCGATCCTGATTGGTCGATCCATGGCAACAACAGTGTGATATGAGGCTGTAGTGCACGGTCCATGTCACACCCTGCGTATTGCGCTATTCCAAGATGCGAGCGACACTCCAACCGCCTTCGTCCTCTTGGTATGAGGGACACAGGCGCACTTCATTATTCGTGTTCCACTCGCGCTTGAGGGATAACTAATATAATAATAATATTTTGTTTAAAGCCCGATCCATCATTGGCAGCTATCCAAAAAAGTAACCGGCGTAATTATTGTTGAAAAACATACTGTTGAAAGATAGTAAGGGGACTAAACTCCCTGTGAAATTATCCTTTCTGGTAAGCTCTCATTTTGAAGAAATCAACAAAAGAAGGCATTTTAAGAAGCACCGTA